ATGAATTTTCAATTTAGGTAAGTTTATATTGTCATTGAAAGGCGGCGGCTACCATATATGCAAACTAAACTACCACCAAAATCACATCTCAACTACCACAAAAATCTGCATTCTCATTAGAAAACACAACAAATCACCAACACCACACCACTTATCAAATTAAAAAGTTGGTTCCACCATGTAAACAACTATTGGTTTCATAGCAAAACCGTAAACATCAAATTAAAAACAAATTAAACCCAATTAACATCCATCAAATTAACAACAAATTAATCCAAAAGATTGCATTTTTATTTAATCCCTTTTGCTTTCTTCAAAAAAAAAATTACAATAACATCAAATTGACAACAAATTGAACCCAATTAACATCCAACAAACAACAAAAATTCATCCAAAAAATTGCATTTTTATTTAATCCCTTTTGGTTTCTTACCTGGACAATGCCCAAGAACGAGCTCGACCACCCGTATTTGGCTGCGAGGGGGACGACGGCGACCGACATGACGACCCGATCCGCATTGCACAGGCACATGACCGCCGCCACCAGCGCTGCTACCCTGAACCTCTCCGCCGGAAAGAACCCGCCTTCCCGCCGCCCCGCGAACAGGCCCCTCTCCAGCCCCTCCGCCGCGCACCTCGCCTGAAAACCGCACGACCCCCGACGACGCCTTTCGACGGCGGACCCGCCGCCCTGCCTCCGCCAGGCTGCATGCAGATCTCGCGGTCGAAATTCTCCGCCGGCCGCGAGAAAAAGGCTCGGGCTTTTCGAATCGGGTCGCGACCCGGAAAATGGGGTCGATGACCCGAAACTAGCTCGGCCCAGGTGGGAAAAGGGCCGGCGAGAGGGCCGTGAACCGTGGCAGCAACGTGGCATTAGCTCAAATGGCGCGGCGCAGGCCATTGTAGAGAGAGAAAGAGAGAGGCACTATTTTTGGGTTATGTAGATCAAGTTCAATACTTTAATATAGTGCAATTTATTAGGTTTTTTTTTTTTTTTTATTACTACCACTTGCTTTATTTATTTTTTATATATTTTATGTGTTGTAGGTGTGGTAAAAATAAAATTTGTTATTGTGCTTTCCCACTTTAATTTTGTTTGATTAGAAATATGATAAAAAAATTTAAATTTAATTACAAAATTATTTCGTATTTTATTATCATATTTCATATAATATCGTGTCATATTCATCGCGTCTATATACTTTTATTATTTTCGCATAGAGTTCATGTTGTATATTTCTATAATCACAATTTTCATTTATGTAGTATTGTGTTCGTATTATAACATACTACACATTTCAAGCTTAATCAATCATTATTATATCATATATTACATGGACCAAATGAAAAACATAAATGCTATCTTAACCTAATAGTTAACCAATTAGTCATCAAAATATAATATTATATTATTGAAGTATATATTTATTAAAAATACATGAATGTAACATGACATATTTATTAGAAACTTGTATGGATATATAGTTATAGATATAAGTGGTGCCTATTAATAATTATTTTATTTTAATTTACTTTGACCATATATATGAGGCAAGTGACAATAAATTTATTAACTTATATAATTAGGTGTGAATTTTAATGTTGTGCAATGGTTTTGAGATATGGTGCCGAGTACATTACATGATGAGTTTAAAATTGACTTGAAAATGTCAACTTCGTGCGAATAATTTGAAAATAGTGCTACACAAGTAAATGGCAAGTTTAATATATACTACTATCTCCTTTTTCTTAATGTCTGGTTTTATCAATTATTAATCAAATAAATATCGTTTTGAATTTTTTGTACATATTTTTCTATTACCCTCATTTAACTTATAAATACATTATGCCTTTTCATAATCACTCTTAATCTTTTCTCAAAACATCATCTCTATCTTCATTAAATAAAGTTATTACTATTAACAAAACAAATATTATTGATTAATGTGCAACTTCTCAAAATGACATATATAAAAAATAGGAGGTAATATTAGTTATCAAATTCAATGTTGAATAATTAATTGTTCTGAAATTGGTGCGCATGCAAATGCTTGTTTGTAGGGTTGTTGGTCGCTTGTTCTAATTATTATTATTGCTGAAATTAATTTATTTGATCATTGCTTGTTTTAATGTAGATTAATTGAATTTTCTTTCAATCTGTCCAACACTTTATTGATAACTAATATTGAAACAACTTAATTGTTAGGTGGATCGACCATCACTCTTTATATATTAATTCAAAACGTGTTGAGCCTAAGTGACAGACTCTCACTCTTTAGATGCTGACATGACGAAAATCTATAATTCGTGATGTTGTTTTTATATTGTTTTGCTCTGGAGTTAAGTCTGACATTAGACATATATAACTTTTATTATATATTTCTTAACTCTAACACTCGTATTGTACACGAGTATTGTACTAGTTATAAATTATTTCACAAAAATACATAACATGTTATGTAATTTCTGAGTCGGTCTAATCGTTATGTGGGTCGATTTATTGTATTTTTTTGAACAATATTTCATGCTTATGCTATGAAATATTATATTTTTGCATATATTATTTTATAGAGTATATTTTTTTATTTTAAAAGTATATTAATTTGTTGAAAAAGTATGATTTTGTCTTTTCTAAATATATTTGCAACACCTATATATGCATGCTTATATATAGGGGTGGTATCGGTTCGATTACCGAATTGATAGGCATATACCGATACCGTACCGATAATGTCGGTAACCTCGGAATACAAAATCGATACCGAACCGATTAAAGTCGGTTACCAAAAATTCGGTAACCGAAAACTCAGTTCGGTTTCGATTCGGTACCGGTTTTATACCAAAAAACCGAACCGATTTTGAGCACAAAAAAAAAATGCTAGTGTTTACTTTTCTCGCTATTTTTGTAATTTTTTTCACTTCTTACCAATTAAATACACACAAAAGACTCACAAGTCACAAGTCCATTGAAGGATTAAAAAGTTTAAATTTAATATATAGAAGTTAGTTTAAATATAATTAGATTATGGTTTTTTGGTAAACGCAATTAATAAAACAATATATTGCTAACAAGCAAAAAAATAAAATTTGTGTACAACTTCAAGACTACAATAACGGTAGCATCTTCTTTAGAAGGAGTGAGACTGGTAAACCGACAATGTTCCAATTAGAAGGTGAATGAGACGATGAGTAGTGGTATTTTTCTCATCATTTTGAGATTTAGGTAGGTTTGAGCCCTTATTTCAATTTTTGAACACTAAACAACTAATCATTGTTTTAATATTTAAAAATATATTTGTTTTAATTTTTTTTTTACCCTTATCGGTTCGGTATCAGTTTTACCGAACTCTTATGGGTTTAAACCGATACCGTACCGATAGTGATTCGGTAACCGATAGTCGGTTACCATTACAAGCAGTTCGGTACGGTTCGGTTTATTTTCTCGTCGGTTCGGTTTGGTTCGGTTCGATTTGGTTTTCGGTTAAAAAATGTCAGCCCTACTTATATACACACAAAAAATGCACACAATTAATATATAGATTGCAAAATGATATTATTTATATGATGTTTTGTCAAAAATTGGAAGTGAACCAATAAAAATTTTTCTTAATATTTTAAAGAAAATGGTGCAAGAAAGAAGCTATATATAATATTGAGAAAAATGGTGAGATGGCGCTGTTTTTTTATTCATCTGGTGAAGCATTAACTTGCTTTTGATTAACTGTGGAAAATGGTGTTGTTGGTAGGTAAGCAAATGAGGTTTACGTATGGAACTCACCACATTTTCCGAATAATAGACCAAAAATCAAATGAAAATAGAAAATAAAAGAGAAGGTTGGTAAGATTTTGATTTGTTCTAAAATATTGGAGTGAGCAACCGTGCCGTTCGGTGAAAAAAAAAAACATATTGAATCAGAAGAACGCTTAAAACTCAAACATTTTAAAGAAATATTTGAATCATACTTTAACACATAAGA